GTGCCCTTTGGGGTTGGCGGCCTCAAGCTCCTTCTTTGGCGGCCTCAAGCTTCTTCTGCTTCGGCCTCCTCTCCCCCCTTCCACACGGCATTATGCTCTTGATCTGACATCACAGGAATTGCCCCCAGAGTACTTTCCCTCCTGAGATGAGGGTTTTTTTGTGCAAAGCCTACCGGCTTTGCAAGTGCTCCCTTTGGAGAGGGTGCATTGCGTAATTGACTCAACAGAAGAAGAGCGCGGGCTTTCGCCCCCCCTCCTCGGACGAGCTGTGCCCGTGCTCGTTCGGACAGCACACAGAGTCAGCAGACCTTTCGAGCTTGAATCGGCACGTGCCCAGGGCGGCGTTGGCGCCCCTGGCGCCAGCCTGAGGCCTTCTCGGGTCGCTCGGCTCGAGTGCCCCTGCGGCAGGTTTGCGCCGCGCTGACGCGGCGGCGACCCCGGCCCGGGCGTTCCGGGTGGAACGCCGCCTGTGGCCTGGAACCGGCCGATATCAGACGCCCTGCGCCATCCGGAAGCCATGGCAGTCCAGAGTTGAGCGACCCAGGTTCTACACGAACGAAATGGGCACGGAAAGAATGGGCACAATGCCCAACAGCGGATCTTGTTCATTTTGAACAGGACTTGCTGTCCGCGCCGCCGCGGGCTGTGTCCATTCGAGGCAGAGGGCCGCCTGCCCAACAGCGGCCGCTGTTGGCTTGGGGCAACATTTGTTGTTGGGCATTGTACCCATTCTTTCCGTACCCATTTCGGGCGTCCAAACAGGTGGGGTCAGAAACCAATGCGCACGTCGTCACGACACAATCGTGCAGTAGAGATAGCAGGCAGGCAAGGCAAGCGAGGGAGGTGGGAAAGGAGGCAGCAGGGAGTAGCGGTACATTTTGCGCGGCTCCGTCAATCCATGGCACGGATATTTGAGACCTCAAGTAGCGAGGGCATGAGTTCACGCGGGCATGGATTCGAAGCCTTCGGTGCGTTGGACCCCGCCGTGCACCCACGGCTGACATTTTGGTTGACATGCAATGGAAAGGGAGTGCGAGCGCATGGGCATGGATATGTCTCTGTTTCTCTCTATATCACACTCTCTCTCTCTCTCCCCCAGGCAGAGCCAATTGCGATCCGATCGATCGTATTAAATTTCGACGCTAGCCCGCTCGATCCGACTCGGTTCCGATGTTCCCACGACCCGACGCGGCTAGATGTTTGCGGCGTTGTCGTGCATCCAGTGAGGCCGATCCGATTCGATCTCGATCCGGCGCCGATGCAGCCCGATCCGACGCACATCCCGAGCCGGTCCGATTTCCAGATTCGATGTCGATTGATCTTGCACACGAGACGATCTTTGATCACCCGCGTGAGCTCGGTGATGAGCGAGCCCGGCCCGCGACAGCCCGAAGGGCGTCGGGTTTTGCCGATGTCTCCCCGCGCCTTGCGGGCCGTGCCCTGCGGGCGTCAGGGCGTACTGGCCTGACCGGGGCGGCGACGTCTCACGGCAAGCCCCCATAGTGGCAAACTGGAACATATACATTACCAGTGGCGGGTTGCTTTTCAATCCCACGACTTTTTAAGGGTTAGGGACGACGTCAGGGTGGTGTGGTGTATACTTTTCCCCCCTTGTCCAAGGGAAACAACCAAAAATGTATACACCAGGATCCTGTATACACCAGAATCCGCGTTCCTGTGCGATTTTCAGCGCAGGGTCGGGAAAAGCGTCGGTGTATATAGAGTTCGTTTCCTTACATAGCGCCCCTGACCCCCCCCACCCCTCGCCCCCGCCCGCCCCTGCGCACGTGCGCCTAACGGCGGGGTTTGGTGGCCCACTCCCAGCGGCCGTGCCCCCCGCCCCCGCCCGCTTGCTTGCACGCTTGCCGCTTCTGCTCTGCCTGCTTGCCTCCCTTCGTCGCTTCCCCTCCCTCGCCCTACCCCCCTCCCTCCTGGACCGAGCGGTGCCCGACCCCCCCCCTGCTTCCTTCCGTCTCCTCCTCCTCCTCCTCCTCCTCCTCCTCCTCCTCCTCCTCCTCTTCCCCTCCCCCTCCTCCTCCCTTCCTCCTCCTCCTCCTCCTCCTCCTCCTCCTCCTCCTCCTCCTCCTCCTCATCATCATCATCATCATCATCATCATCATCATCATCATCATCATCATCATCATCATCATCATCATCATCCCCAACGGGGTGATAACTCTGGGCGGGGAGGGAGGGGACGCAGAGGAGCGGCGAGCCACTGATGCCGCGAGCGCCCGCGTCGTGGCTACCACTGCGCGGGAAGTTTTGCGCAGGCCGATGCTGGCGAATTCGATCCGCCTTCGAGAGTTGGCGCCACGGGGGGCCCTTCTCTACCGACCTCCACCTCCTCATCTTCCTCCTCCTCTTCCTCCTCCTCCTCCTCCTCCTCCCCCTCCTCCTCCTCCTCCTGCTCCTCCTCCTCCTCTTCCTGCTCCTCCTCCTCCTCCTCCTGCTCCTACTCCTCCTCCGGCTTCTTCTCCTCCTGCTCCTTTTGGTTTTGCTGTTGCCTCTTCTTCTTCGAGGACCCAGCAGCCGCTCCACCTAGCCGAGAGTCGGCTTCTAGAGCGAGTCCCTGGAGACTCCCGCCAGTTTATGGCTCGGGAGCGGCGAGTTTCAAACACAATACCCATAGCGACGTCTCGTTGTTTTGTCTGCAGTGCTGCAGGGCCCCGTGGGCCGTCTGCTCTGTAGGTCTGAGCCGCGCCGCCGCTTCCCTCTGAGCGTGTATGTCCGCGCTGCAGGGCGGGCTGGGGCCCGAGCAGGTCGCGCCGTGCCCACCGAGGCTGGAAGCCGAGCGCAGCTGCATACGAAGACCACTCAGGGGCCCTTTGTTTTAACTCGGCATGATGTGCCTCATGGGTTTCGGCATTTCTGAGTCGATATTATATGATCTCCTCCTCCTCCTCCTCCTCCTCCTCCTCCTCCTCCTCCTCCTCCTCCTCCTCCTCCTCCCTCTTCTTCCTGGTTGTTATGGTTATCTTATGATTCATCATCAGCAGCGGCATCATCATCATCACCACCATCATCAGCATCATCATCGTTAGCAGCACCATCATCATGATCATCAGCAGCAGCATCATCAGTATCATCAGCAATTACCAGCATCATCATCATCATCATCATCAGCAGCATCATCATCATCATCATCATCATCATCATCATCATCATCATTATCATCATCATCATCATCAGCGTCATCATCGTCCGCTTCGTCAGTTGCGCTTGATTCGAATGGTTTTCAGAGCCATAAGGGGTTCCCCACACAGCGCGGCTGCCCTTTCTCCCCTCACCTCCCTCTCCTCTCCGTGTCGCTATCGCACTGTCGAGTGGTCGTTGGGGCCACCGTTCACTGCATGAGTGTGCCTGCTGCAGGTCGGCTTGTTCGGTGTTCCCAGTTTGCCCAGCGACCTTTTGATTCGCATTGCTGCTGCGGAACCCGGCACCAGAGTGGTCTGTGCGAGTGGTATTTTCTTCTGGTCCTCTCGTCCCTCCCGTTCTCCCTTTGCTCTACGCCGGGTTCTCCCCCCTATCTCTGTCTCTGCTTCCTTCTTCCCTCCCACCAATCCTGACCGCCCTCTTCCCCCCGCTACCGGTCCCCCTCATTGTCGGAACGGTAATATTCTTCATGTTCCTCTCTATCTGTCCCTGCTCTTCCAACTCCATTTGATCCTTCCCCTCCTCTTCCGTTCCTTCCTCTTCATCTCCTGAGTCGAGTCTCATACCAGATCATCTGCACCCTCCCTTCGCAGACATGCTGACTTAAAACATCTGGCTGCACGGTGCCAGTTCATCGGGTATCCCGATTGCCAGTCGCATTGGTTGGTCATGGAGGCAGCATGTTTCGCGATCCTTCGCGCCGTGGAGGTTCATGTCGCAAGCGCCGCACCCACCGCGACCTCGGCCGGGCGGGTGGACCCTGACGGGCGGGTCGGGCGGGCGAGGCGTCAGAGCGGGCGGGAGAGAGCTTCCAAGCACGCGGACGGGCGGACTCTGACGGGCTGGTCCGACGGGCGAGCCCTGACGAGCGGACGGGGCGCGCGGACCCCGGCGGGCGGGGCGGGCGGGCGGACACCAGCGAGCGGGGCGGGCGGGAAATTTTGAAGCGGGCGGGCGGGCTTTTCCAGCAGGCGAACGGGCGGCCTCCATAGTGGGAGGTTCGGGCGGGCTGGCTCTCTCCAACGGGCTGGTCGGGCGGACGGACCCCTCACGGGCGGGTAGTAAGGATGGGCAACCTTCCCAAGGGTACCGTTGCGTCCTTGCTTCCTCGGTCCATCCTTCGCCGCTTTCGTTGGCCGCGCCCCGCTCGAAAAGCTTCGAAAGGGGCGTCCAAGGCCCTTGCATCCTTATCGCGCATCCTTACTATACGGGTTGACTGTAAAGAAGCATCAGGCGAGAGAACCATCTCCTGGGTAAAGTGTGAGGAAGTCGTGTGCGAGACTTCGGTTCCTGGACGTTCAGAGCGCAGCGCCTGAGTTCGTTGTGGGGGAGTCCTAGAGACGTGCGATTCCTGGGCGAATTCCCAGAAAGAGTCTCGACACGAGCGCAACCCTTCAATCAATTGTTAGGAAGTCTCTGGCGGGAGCCGTTGTTGTGGTAGCGGCGCAACGCGATGCTTCTCCCTGATTGAGAACATGGTGTGAGCCCCAGAGGAGGCGCACTTGAATTGAAAAACTAGTGCGCGACGGACAGGGTGGCATCAACAAGATTGTTCTTTCAGAATCTAGGACTCAATGATGACGACGACGACGACGACGACGACGACGACGACGACGACGACGACGACGCCGACGACGACGCCGACGCCGACGCCGACGCCGACGACGACGAGGACGAGGACGACGACGAGGACGACGACGACGACGACGACGACGACGACGACGACGACGACGACGACAACGACGACCACGACGACGACGCCCACGACCACGACCACGACGACGACGACGACGCCGACGCCGACGCCGACGCGAAGACGACGACGGCGCTCCCGCCCGCGAGAGGCGGCGGCGGCGGGCGTCGGCGCCCGGCCTCAGCCGGCCGCCGCGCCGAGGCCAGGCGCCGCCGCGGCGGAGGCGAAGGCGCCGCGGCGATCGGCCGCTGACGACGGCGCCGCCTGGAAGCGCCGCCAGCGGCCAACGCCGCCGCCGCCCGGCGCCGACGACGACCACGACGACGAAGACGACGACGACGACGACGACGACGACGAAGACCACGACGACGACGACGACGACGATGACGACGACGACGACGACGACGACGACGACGACGACGAGGCCGACGACGACGACGAAGACGACGACGACGACGCCGACGACGAGGTCGACGACGACGAAGACCACGACGACGACGACCACAACCACGACCACGCCGACGACCACCACATCCACAACAATGCCGACGACGACGACGACGCCGCTGCCGAGCAGAGGCGGCAGCCAGCGCCGGCGGCGATCAGAGCACCCTAAATCAGGACAGTGCTGGCCAGAACTTTGCAGTTTCCGTTTGGAGGGAGCGAAGAGTGGAGAGTGTTTCGGCCCACGGCTGCTGCTTTCTCGCACGCGCCAGTGCCCTGGCTGATCGAAATCCCCGATCAGGGGGCCCTGAGGCGACGGGGACGCAGCCGAAGGGACAGAGGGCAGGAAGAGGAGGAGGAGTAGGAGGAGGAGGAGGAGGAGGAAGAGCAGGAGGAGGAGAAGGAGGAGGAGGAGGAGGAGGAGGAGGAGGAGGAGGAGGAGGAGGAGGAGGAGGAGGGGGAGGACGGGGAGGAGGAGCAGGGAGGAGGAGGAGGAGGAGGAGGAGGAGGGAGGAGGAGGAGGAAAGGAGGAGGGAGGGAGGAGGAGGAGGAGGAGAGGCGGAGGAGGAGGAGAAGGAGGAGGAGGAGGAGGAAAGGAGGAAAGGAGGAGGAGGAGGAGGAGAAGGAGGCGAAGGGGGAGGAGAAAGAGGAGGAGGAGGAGGAGAAGGAGGAGGAGGAGGACGAGCAGCAGCAGGAGCTTTCGGCAGCGTCCAGCGTCCGCCTATGCATCGTTGCCCATGGGGCCGCCGCCGAGACCGCTGGCGGCTGCCGCTGGCCTCTCAGAGCCGTCCCGCGGAGGCGAAGGCGAAGGCGAAGGCGAAGGCCCAGGACGGGGCCGCCCGGAAGACGTTCGAGGACGCCCCGGCGGAGCCCAGGGGCGAAGGCTCCCGTCGGGCTGGGAACCTCCCATGGAGGTCAGGCGCAAGGTTAGGGGGGGGATTGGATCAAAGGGCGACTTTTGGACAGGTTCTGGAAGTTTCCGAAGTTTCCGAGGCCTGGGGTGGTTTCCATCAGCTGCGCTTAGCGCCTCGTCGAGAGGGTTCCAGGGGGGCCCAGATCGTCCCGAACGGCCGACAGAGAATTGAGCTACGATTTGAAAGTTTAAGGGCATTGTTACGGGGGATTGGCTCAGGGGGGGACGCATCGGCTTCCAATCGCCCATTGATCGCCAACAGGTGCCCGATTGCCCACTCCACCAAGGAGCGTGCTGATTCGCTATCGAGAGCTTATCGCTGGTCTATCGGCGATGTATCGCCGATTCCAGCTCGATGCTCTCCCTGGGCCGAACCCCCCGAACGTTCCCTTTCGGGAGGAAATGGGCCCGGAAATCCAATGCATTGAAAAAATCGAGGCGAAGGTTTTTCACGATTCTATAGGCTTGCGCCACAGCCGCCGACCTCTATATATAAAAAATAATTTAAAAAATGAAACTATGACTTATATATATAACAATAGTAAGAATAATAATAATAATAATAATAATAATACGAATACTAATAATCATAATAATAATAAATGAAATAAAATAAAATAATTATAACAAAAATAAAAAAAAAAAGATTTTTTATATATAAAAAAAAAAAAAAAAAAAAAAAAAAAAAAAAAAAAAAAAAAAAAAAAAAAAAAACGACTGCGCCTCCACGACTGCATTTCACGAGGCTTGTCCGAATCACGACACGGCGCTCGACATCATTCCTGTTGCGTCGCTGCTGTTATCGTACCTCTTGGTGTTCTCTTGTGGCCTTTTGGCGGCATTTTGGCAGGCCATATCCGGCCGCCTCGAGGCATCTTGGGCCAAGTTTTGGGGCCTCTTGGGGGCTTCTTGGGGGCTTCCTAGAGGCCTTTGAGGTTCTCTTGGGGGTCCCTCAGGGCCTCTTGGGCTGTTCTTGGGGCAGGCTGGGGGCGTCTTGGGGCCGAAGGCTCGAAAAGGTGCCCTCTGGACTCCGTCTTGGAGCCGGCTGGGGGCCCTCTTGGGCTGTCTTGGGGGTTTCGTGGGCTGGTGTTGGACCCTCTTCGACCCTTTTGGGGGGCCCCTTTGGCCGTCTGGGGGCGATATTCAAGGTTTCTTTGCCCGTGTGGGACGTTGGTGAAAACCGAATTGGCAAGCATGCGAGACATGCTTGTTTTTCGAAAGGAATGGGACGTGCTTTATTTAATCGCTTCGCTCATTCCGCCGGCCCACATTGTATCGCTGGTGCTATGTGTTTGTGTGTGTTCGTGGCGAGCGAGAAGAAGTTGGAGGAGGGGGAGGAGGAGGAGGATGAAGAGGGGAGGATGAGGACGAGGAGGCGGTCTCTCGATGGATTCTTGGAGTATTTTGGGGGCCAACCCTGGTCGTGGACAAGACGCCTCTTTGGGAGGCTTCGTGGGGTCTCTTGGGAGGCCTCTCGGGGGCCTGTTGGAGGTGTTTTTGGGGCCTCCTGGGGCCTCTTGGGGCCTCTTGGGGCCTCCTGGGGGCCTCTTCGGGCAAAGATGTCGAAATGCCCGTTCGGGTCCCCCGTCTGTGCCCTCTCTTGGAGCCGTCTTCGGGGTGTATTGGGCCGTCTTGGAGGCCTCTTGGGCAGTCTTGGGGCCATCTTGGGCCGTTTGGGGGCCCTCTTGGAGACCTCTTGGGGCGGTCTTGGGGGCCTCTTGGGGCGTCTTGGAGCGTCGGAAGCTGAAAATGTGAGAACGCCAAAAACCTTCAAAAACCAATGGAAAATCAACCATTTGTGCTTATTGGGGCCCTTTTTGGAGGCCTCTTAGATGCTTCTTTGGCCATCTTGGAGGCCTCTTGGGCCGTCTGGAGGCCATCTTGGGCGTCGTGGAGCGATTTTCGGGCGTCTGGGGCCCCTCTTGGACCATGTTTGGGGCCTCTTGGGGCCCTCTTGGGGCGATCTGGAGCCCTCTTGGGCTCCGAAACAGAATTCCGGCATCTCAGACCCCTAGTACAGACGTCTGCCGGGGATCTGCCGGGGATCGCCCGGGGTACTTTTCGCTCGGGGACCCCCAGGGGCCGCCCTGCGCGCGCGAACTAGAAATACTGTTTACCTGTTACCTGAGATCTTAGCACGCCCTGGCCCGTTGGCCCGGCGAATTTTTCTTGGGACACTCTTGGGGCGCATCTTGGGGGCGTTTTGGGGCGTCTTGGCAGCTTCGGGGGCCGCATGGAGGCAGCGTTTGGGTGCCTTCTTGGCCAGTTGGCGCGTTCGGTCCGGGATCGCGCTCGGCCCGGGGGGGGGGGGGAATTGCCGGTTTGGGGTCCTTGGGGGGGGGTTATGGGGGGGGGATAATCTCACACGCCTAGAAACCGACAAGGGGTCGGCAGATTTTCGACCTCTACGGGCCCTCGCCGGGCCTCGGGACCGTCAAAACACGATTCAGGATGAAGAACCAGTCCTGGGGAATGGGTCGGCACTTCCAGGGACCCCCTTATTGAAAAAAGCACGACGTCGGATCACTGGGGTTCCCTCTGAGGAGGAGAGGGGGAATATTTGTTCGTTTTGTTCCGCGGCCTGCTTGGAGGGGCCCTCGTCGCCACGGCAAGGGGCGTATAGGCTTGATCCGCCTAAGGCTCGCTTCGCCGGGCTCGATTCGCCCAGCGTGATTCGCCCAATCTCAGGTCGCCCGAGTTTCAATTCGCCCGGGACTCGGTTCGCCCGGCTCGACTCGCCCAGCCCAGCTTCATTAGCCCAGTCTCACTTCGCCCGAGTTTCGATTGTTTCGTCCTGCTCGATTCGCCTGACTCGATTCGCCTGGCTCGATCCGCCTGGCTCAATTCGCCCAGGCTCGGTTCGCCTGGGCTCGGTTCGCAGGGCTCGATTCGCCCGGCTCGATTCGCACGGCTCCAGCCATCGACGAGGCGGTGGCCACCCGCCCGCCGACCCGCTCGTTAGTGTCCGGCCGCCCGACCCGAACCGCCCGTCGGGGTCCGCCTGCCCGACCCGACCCGCCCGTTAGGCTTCGCTCGTGCTGCCTCGATGACGCATCATGCTCCAGTGCCCAGCCCGCTCGACCCGACCCGCCCGTCAGGGCCCGCCCGCCCGACCCGACCTGCCCGTTAGGGTCCGCCCGCCCAATGAAGCGAGCTCCAGCGAAAGAACCCCCGGCGAAATGAGCCCCAGCGAAACGAGCAGGGCGCCCCAGCGAACCGAGCCCCAGCGAATCGAGCCCCAGCGAACCGAGCTGGGCGAACCGAGCTGGGCGAATCGAGTCGGGCGAAAACCAAGCCCCGGCGAATCACGCCCTGGCGAACCGAGCCCCGGCGAACCGAGATTCCGGCGAACCGAACGCGTGCCTGGCAGGGTTCAATTTGCAATTTTGGTCGGAACGCGTTCCAGGCCCTTCGAGGGTCGATCGGCCAAGGCGTCGCGAAGAGATCGCGACGGGCGTTTTTTCCGCAAACCGGGCCCGAGGGGGCTGTTTTCAAGCCCCAGGATTGGCACAAAAGGGGCGACTACGAAAAACCGTTCCAGTAATGGGGCGGGGAGTTTTTTGGCCCACGTCGCAACATCAACAAATCGCCGGAGATAATGGGGATAATGGGCTAGAAAACGCGCTGGCTGACAAACTGCAATGGTGTTGTATATCACATAGCCGGCGTTCAGATCCCTGCGCCCTGGGCACCACATTGCTGCCAAACTTCCGACTTCCCAAAGTCGGCGGCGCAGAGGGTCCCCAAGCGCGGCCAGCAGATGGAAGTGTTAATTGCGATCCAACACTGTCGAAGGCACAGTGCCCAAGACGCCGCACACTGTCTCGTGCAAGCGGCGGGGGGATCTAGAGGGATCCGCCGGGACGGCGACCAGCACGTTCGCGCGCCGAGCTTGCTCCATGTCGTTGTACATATGGTGGTCCCGCGGCAGGTCTGGTCTGGCTGCATGCGGCCCCCCCCTTCTCGGAGGTCAAGGTGCACGAGTACGTGGAAGACTTTCGCGCCTCGGGCGCGCCACCGACGAGGGCGCAAGGATTTCTAGAAGCCGCCCTGTTCGTGCACGGCACGCTGGGCGTGGAGGTGGAGGACGGTTTGTCCCGCAGCGCCCGGGCACGTGGAGCCGCGGCGCGGAATTGGCAACGCAAGCACCTCACGGTCAAGGCTCGCCCACTGAAGGTACAGCACTGACGACTTGCTCACAGCCGTTCAAGGGCGCGGGATCTGGCCAAGGTGGAGGACGAACCGAACGTCGATATGTCAGTGGGCCACGGTTTCATAAAAGTGCGGGCTGCCCGCGACAAGACTACCAGAGGGCTCAAGAGGGCCATGTTTGGGTTTCCCGTGGTCGGGATCGCAGAAGAGTTCACGGACGAACCGGTCGAGACGTGGGCAGAGGCGTGGCTCTGCGTGCGGAAGGCAGCGGGCATGCGCGTCAGCGAGGGCCAGTGCCTGATGCCAGCTGAGTCCGCTGGCAACGTGCTCGTCCACGACGCGCTGGCGCTTGCCCCGCAGACCACGGCCATGCTCCGTAGAAGCCTCATTCTCGCTGGGGGGGAGACGGCAGAGGTGGAGCACTATACGTCGCATTCTTTTAAGGCCACTCTGCTGTCTTGGATGGCCAAAGCTGGAGCGCCCCTGCCCGTCAGGCGCATGTTGGGCGGGCACAGAAAGCCAGGTGACAAGTCGGTCATTGAGTATTCTCGCGACGCCATGGCTGGGCCTCTGCAAGAGATTGAGGGCGTGCTCGCACAGGTTGCGGCGGGGCAGCTTGACCCCGATGCGACTCGCTCAGGGAGGCGGCGCGAAGGCGGGCCCCCCGCGACCCCGACGCCGTCGGGCGCGACGGCCAGCGCGCCCTCAGCAGAACAGGACGAAAGGCGCAACGCCCCGGAAGAAGGGGACGACGTCGCCGGCACGATTTCCGAGGTCGGGGTCAGCGACGAGAGCACCGGGAATTCTGACGAGGCGCA